GGAAAAGTGTCCTTTTTCACATTGGAGAAGGTATAATTGTTTGGGCCCAACCCTACTTGGTATATATACATGGAAAAATGGTATATTGAAGGAGGAGGACGTTTTTTAGAGGAAAACACAAGCATAGAGCCGCCGTGGAGGCCGAGTTTCATCTTTTCTTCCACCAACTTAGTCTTTTTATGTTTATATGTCTAATTTGTTGTTTTGCTACCATGTCTATGTGGAGCTAAACTTCACGTTCTAGGGTTGTGGTTCTTTCATGACTATTGTTATTCGGATATTGATTTTGATTGCTTAGTTTATCATATTGGTTTATTTATTTAATCCTGCACTTAATTATTTGATTGCTTGTTCACCAATTGAATACTATCTACGAATCTTGAATTGAACTCGAAAGTGGAAATTCTAGATTGCATATAGGATTGAGTAGAGTAAGTTCTTGAACCCGGGCATCGGGGAACGGATTCGCGGTTAGGATAGACATATAGCTAATTGCCTTGCTTGGTTGATTTACAGGAATTATAAATGCGTTCTTGTTGATTCTAACTCCATAGACATATAGTTAGAGCAAACGAAAACTCGAGTAGGCATATTGTGCACTGTCTAGTAAAATACACATAACGTTTTGCTCATAACCCCATTTGGGCTCCACAATATATGGTTGGAAAGCTGACTCAAAACGCTACAACTTTCATGTAATATGTTTTTCCAAATTCGAAAAGGAAAAGGGTGAAAAATGTGAGTCAATAGCTCAATCGCGCTCAGGTCGCGCTCGTCAGGCAGAACATTCGGCCACTAGCGCGACCACTAGCGCGATCGCGCTAGTCAAACCCGGGAAAAGTGTCCTTTTTCACATTGGAGAAGGTATAATTATTTGGGCCCAACCCTACTTGGTATATATGCATGGAAAAATGGTATTTTGAAGGAGGAGGACGTTTTTTTAGAGGAAAACACAAGCACAGAGCCGCCGTGGAGGCCGGGTTTCATATTTTCTTCCACTAACTTAGTCTTTTTATGTTTCTTTGTATAATTTGTTGTTTTGCTACCATGTCTATGTGGAGCTAAACTTCACGTTCTAGGGTTGTGGTTCTTTCATGACTATTGTTATTCGGATATTGATTTTGATTGCTTAGTTTATCATATTGGTTTATTTATTTAATCCTGCACTTAATTATTTGATTGCTTGATCACCAATTGAATACTATCTACGAATCTTGAATTGAACTCGAAAGTGGAAATTCTAGATTGCATATAGGATTGAGTAGAGTAAGTTCTTGAACCCGGGCATCGGGGAACGGATTCGCAGTTAGGATAGACATATACCTAATTGCCTTGCTTGGTTGATTTACAGGAATTATAAATGCGTTCTTGTTGATCTAACTCCATAGACATATAGTTAGAGCGAACCAAGACTCAAGTAGGCAAGTGTCTAGTAAAATACACATAACATTTTGCTCAGAACTCCATTTGGGCTCCACAATATATGGTTGGAAAGCTAACTCAAAGCGCTACTACTTTCATCTTATACATTTTTCCAAATTCGAAAAGGAACAGGGTGTAAAGTGCGCGTCAATAGCGCGATCGCGCTCAGGTCGCGCTCGTCAGGCAGAACATTGGGCCACTAGCGCGACCACTTGCGCGATCGTGCTAGTCAAACCCGGGAAAAGTGTCCTTTTGCACATTGGAGAAGGTATAATTGTTTGGGCCCAACCCTACCTGCTATATATACATGGAAAAACGGTATTTTGAAGGAGGATGACGTTTTTTAGAGAAAAACACAAGCACAGAGCTGCCGTGGAGGCCGGGTTTCATCTTTTCTTCCACTAACATAGTCTTTTTATGTTTCTTTGTATAATTTGTTGTTTAGCTACCATGTCTATGTGGAGCTAAACTTCACGTTCTAGGGTTGTGGTTCTTTCATGACTATTGTTATTCGGATATTGATTTTGATTGCTTAGTTTATCGTATTGGTTTATTTATTTAATCCTGCACTTAAGTATTTGATTGCTTGATCACAAATTGAATACTATCTACGAATCTTGAACTGAACTCGAAAGTGGGAATTCTAGATTGCATATAGGATTGACTAGAGTAAGTTCTTGAACCCGGGCATCGGGGAACGAATTCGCGGTTAGGATAGACATATACCTAATTGCCTTGCTTGGTTGATTTACAGGAATTATAAATGTGTTCTTGTTGATTCTAACTCCATAGACATATAGTTAGAGTGAACGAAGACTCGAGTAGGCATATTGCGCACTGTCTAGTAAAATACACATAACTTTTTGCTCAGAACTCCATTTGGGCTCCACAATATATGGTTGGAAAGCTAACTTAAAGGGCTAGAACTTTCATGTTTTACGTTTTTCCAATTCGAAATGGAACAGGGTGAAAAATGCGCATCAATAGCGCGATCGCACTCAGGTCGCGCTCGTCAGGCAGAACACTGGGCCACTAGCGCGACCACTAGCGCGATCGCGCTAGTCAACCCCGGGAAAAGTGTCCTTTTTCACATTGGAGAAGGTATAATTGTTTGGGCCCAACCCTACTTGGTATATATACATGGAAAAATGGTATTTTGAAGGAGGAGGACATTTTTGAGAGAAAAACACAAGCACAGAGCCGCCGTGGAGGCCGGGTTTCATCTTTTCTTCCACCACTTAGTCTTTTTATGTTTCTTTGTATGATTTGTTGTTTTGCTACCGTGTCAATGTGGAGCTAAACTTCACGTTCTAGGGTTGTGGTTCTTTCATGACTATTGTTATTCGGATATTGATTTTGATTTCTTAGTTTATCATATTGGTTTCTTTATTCAATCCTGCACTTAATTATTTGGTTGCTTGATCACCAATTGAATACTATCTACGAATCTAGAGTTGAACTCGAAAGTGGGAATTCTAGATTGCATATAGGATTGAGTAGAGCAAGTTCTTGAACCTGGGCATCGGGGAACGGATTCGCGGTTAGGATAGACATATACCTAATTGCCTTGCTTGGTTGATTTACAGGAATTATAAATGCGTTCTTGTTGATTCTAATTCCATGGACATATAGGAATTAGGTTAGCTTGAATAGGCGAGTAAGAACTCGACAGATTCTTATGAGCAGTATTAACTCTGTCAACCAATAAACTAGATAAATTAATTAGACAATTCAATTGAAGAATACAATAGGAATGTTAGATAGCCCATAACCCTAGATCGTTTTCATTACATTGATATCATAAAAATCTGCTCTTTCTCTGTTCAAAGTTTATTATTTATATTCTTTATTTAATTAGTTTAGAATCAAATACTTCTAGGTTTAATTCTTGTTTAGATAATTAGGATAGTCTAATTTAGTTAATAGTTAATCACAAGTCCTCGTGGGATCGACATCCGACTTTTAGTCACTTTATTACTTGACGACCGCGTATACTTGCGTGTGCGTTTGGCCGCAACAACCGGTGGTAACTCTATTCGCTCCATCTGGAACTTGGACACGAACTCCCTCAACATCTCGTCGTTCCTTTGTTTTATCTTGAAGACATCCGATTTTCTCGTGGCCACCTTTATGGCCCCGGCGTGCGCTTTCACGAAGGCGTCTGCTAACATAGCAAATGAGTCAATAGAGTTAGGAGGTAAGTTGTGATACCAAATCATAGCTCCTTTCGACAATGTTTCTCCAAAATTTTTTAATAAGACTGATTCGATCTCATCGTCATTCAAGTCATTTCCTTTTATCCCGCAATTGTATGAAGTAATATGCTCGTTAGGGTAGGTTGTCCCGTTATATTTGGGTATATCGGGAATGCGAAACTTCTTAGGAATAGGCATCAGGGCCGCGCTCTGAGGGAATGGTTTTTGTATGAATTTTTTGGCATCTAATCTTTTCAAAACTGGAGGTGCCCCCGATATTTGGTCAACACGGGAGTTATAAGTTTCCACCTTTTTGTCATTGTCTTCAATCTACTTCTCTCCGGACTCGATCCTCTTGGTAAGCTCTTCGAGCATCCTCATAATGGTGGGTTCAGTCCCTGAGTCATTTCCATTAGACCTCTCTGGCGCTGGCTCAGCATGTCGAGTATTTTCATGTTCAGCTACACTCGGAGTCTTATTTTGACTTTGAAGTTGAGCAATGGTGATCTATTGAGCTTGCAGCATCTCGAATATCACTTGGAGGTTGATTTCCCCATCACCCACTCCTTGTGTTCCTTGGCCACCAGGTCGGGCTTCGCTGCGTACACTCCCTCTGGGGTCTGTGCCTAAATCCGCGTTTAGAGAAATGTGTGAACTAACATCAACTGGTTCCATATTTGGCACTTCCCCAGGGTTTATTGGTGGTATACCGACCCCTATATTGTTGTTTTCTCCAAGACCTTCGTTGTCATGAATAGGTGCATTTTGTTAGGTAGACATGTTTCAGCCTGAGAATCAAAAATTCTTGACAAGAAAAAGTGTAAAAATAACGTGTGTAATGAGAATCAGTAAAGAAATAATCACTATTATCTTTAGGCCCACGGTGGGCGCCAAACTGTTTACCTCGAAAGTACGAGTAACAATTAAATCTGATTTTGTGGTTTTAAAGATATGTGATTAACTTCAATACCAATTAATAATCAAGAAATATGAAGTAGAAATGAAATAAATAAGTGAATCGAACCAATGTTACTCAGCAGTGGTGACCTCGAGCTTAGTGACCTCGAGATGAACCCGTGACCTATAGATCACACGGAGACAACTTTACCATTGCTCCAAGGCTCCCCTCCTTAGATCTGCAACAAATGACTGCTATATATCTCTAGTGTATAGTTACTAATTTTATAGTGTTGCGGCAATGTTATATAATATCATTATACTTAAAAGATTTTCAATTGATCATGTTAGACAGTTATATAAGAATGCTAAAGCAAATATTGTATTTCAACAGTTAACTTTGGTCTGTCAAAATTTGTGCATACAACTTTAGGCGGTGACTTGAGAAAGAAAAGGAAAGAAAAGAAAATGAAGAAAAACAGAAACTTGAAAAACAAACAGAGAGGTGCTCTTTATATTAATCACTCTGCACAAAAGCTATGTGCCAAAAACTACTCGTACTACTTATCGAACATCTTCGAATAATATACCACCAATATACATTTTATGAGGAAGTTGTTGGCTGTTATATAATTGCATATTGTTACAGTAATTTGCAAATTAAGTTCCAAATAAGGTTATCATGAAGAATAATGAAAGAGTAAATGAAAAGGAGAGAGAACAGATAGCTGCTAGTGTCTACTCGATTTGTTTTATCTCTTTAGCAGCAGTTGTATCAACTTTGACCTCATCTTTACAACTCATCTGCAAATCTTCAGTCTCAATATCTGAACTTTCCAAGTTTGATGTTGTTTCATCAGTAGAGGATAAACCATCCTCGGACAAGTCAAAACCATTGTCTCGCGCTGAGGATTCTCGTGTCTCAGCAGTCACATATTGGTCAGAGGGCAATGGAACACCAGATTTAACAAATTCAGACATCTTCTTGTCCCCCTCTTTCATGCGTTTGGAGTATGCGACATATTCAAACCCTTGTGTGCATTTCCCCCCAAATGAAGATTCAAGCTTGTCCATATCAAATAGATCTTCCATTACCTTCTGAGTATGTGCATCATTTGGATAGACAAACCTCACTTTCTTGTATGTCCTCTTCTCAAGAAATGGTTTTACCAACTGCAAGATGCATACTAAAACATTATTCGAATTGTTGAAAGTTGTGAAAGTTGTATCGCAACATATTACTAGCCAAAAACTGTAAATGAGAATACTTATTAGTTAGAGGCACCTACTATCCAGAAGGACTCAAAAACTTTTGGCGGATTATAAAAGATTGCAAGACCTAGCCTCTCTGGATAACGATCTTGTAGTACACGAGCTGTTTCCCGAGTCACCTTTACTGATATGCTTGACATGTTCCACCCTTCAAAGTCAATTAACCAAACCATTCGCTCCTGACCCGATTTTAGATCCAGTATGGCATTCTCCATGCAATAGACTAAATATCTCATTTGCTTCTCTACTGAGTGTGGGTTCTGAAAGAGCAAGGAGAATAAGAAGATATCAGAGGAAAAAAAGTTACTATATCAAACTATGTTGCTCGGACTCTCCAAAATTTCTCCAGATGCGTGTCAGATCCTCCAAAAGCAGTGCATTTTTTGAAGGATCCGACACGGGTGCGGCATCATTTAAGAGAGTCCGAGCAACATAGATATCAAAGTCGACAGAAGCTCGTTATAGGAACTGCTTCTCATTATTTATGTACCTGTATTCCAGGCCTCATGACAAGCACATTCCTTCCATACTTGTCAAAGTAGTTGGCTTTGTAAACTTTTCCGGTTTCTGCTTGTTGAGCAATATCATCCTAATTAGACACAAACTATTGATCAACATATTTAATATAAAAACGCAAACATATGAATATTTAATGATTATCGCAACTAAATATTCAACACACCCTAGTTCATACCCATTGGCGGTATATCTACAGTGGCGGAGCCACTCATTGGCAAGGGGAGTCATTGACATCCCTTCGTCGGAAAATTACACAGTATAAATACGTTAAATTCTTAATTTTATGTGTATATACTATACATCGACTCCCCTTGATTTCTTTGTGTGCTTACTTATTTATATTTTGACTCCCCTTAGTTAAAATCCTGGCTCCGCCACCGTCTACAGTCTATACAAAAATGAGTATCTTCTACAATAGGTTGAAATTTCTTCTATATTAAATATCAAGGAGCAGGAATTTCTATTTCACATTATATCCATAATGTTAGACAATAAAAAAGAATAGAGGGGCTGGAGCCGTACCCAACGGATCATCTCTGGTTTATATTCAAGTCTCCATATCAAGGTTTCTTTAAGAATCTTTGCTGCCCTTTTTGTATGCCAATTCCGTGCCCTGAGAAACCTTAGAACTGATGCGTCCGAACACATTGCTGGAAACTTGTCAACAGCAGGACCAATCAGCTTTCTAACCTCATTGATCTATAAAAAGAAATGAATTAGTACACATTTAAAATATCAAGCTGCATAAACACTTTATGTTCCCATGTAATGATCAATTTGATATTAGCATTCCTATAATCCTAGAACTTAATATCATGTGGAAGAAACATATTGAAACCATCCAATTCCCACATCATTACAGCAACAACTTTATACTTTTCATATGTAAAAATGGATGGTTGTGAAAATTATTCGTAGCCTATTAAATTTTTAGATGGAAACGGAGTATGGAAAAGACGATGAAACACATGATTCAGATTAAGGAGCATTTGCATTCCTACTAGATACTTTCTTAACAAACTTGTAACTAGAATCAGTGACATTTGGTCATTACCTGGAAACGGAAGTACTCATCACTATGCAGCGTGGTTTACCAGATAACTTACATTTTTTAGAGAGCGACAGAACTAAAGGAAATCTTGAACTTGAAGCGGTTTTGCCTAGTTAAAAAGTATTTTAACAGTGTGATTTAAAACCAGAAAAGTAAGAAAATCTTGCAAGCTGCATGGCAAAAATTGTATTTCACCTAGTAACATAAAGTGACAACACTCATAGCGGAGAAGTTAACCATAATATTTAAAGTTTAAGTTAGCCAACGAGGTCCTTATTCAGATTTAAAATTGCTGCAGAAGACCGTCAGAATGGTGTTGGAGACACCTCCATGATTTACAAAAATATCTGGAAACAAAATCAGAGCTCCTGGAATTAGCTAACCAAAAATAGCATGATTGCAAGGCCCTTAACGCAAAATTCTAGCCTCTTGTAGTACAATGGCATATATAATAAAATGTGAGAAGTAGATGTTTGAACGTGCATACAAGGAGAAGCAGTGGGAATGCAATTGATCTTGAATGGGGATCATAGTGAAAAGATAGTTAGAATGTCAAAGAAAAAGGAATAGAGTGGGAACCTTAGCTTGCTGCTCTGCAGATGACAGAGACAATTCAGCTCCTTGCAACTTTTTGGATGACATATTTACTATAACTTGATAAAGGTAGAGAAGGCGGAAGCGAGTTGACAAAAGCACTGCACAGTTTCATGAAATAATAACATTTAAAAGAGCGAACAATGTTCTGAAGAATATAATTCTTCCAAAAGAGAAGAGAATTAAACAGTTATAACAACTTAAGCTACACTAGGAAATGTAAGGTTATATTTCATTTTACTTATATCTTTGCGTAAGAAGTTAAATAGAACCAAGGCTTTTTGTACAAGTAATGAATTGGGAAAGAAGATTATGCACCAATTGAACATGAGAAATAAAAAGAGAGAACACAGACTTTTATATCCTTCAATAGAGCATAGTAAGCAGTGATTATTCAAAAAATAAATTCTAACTCTTAGACAAAGGAATTCAAAAATGTTGCTTTTACATCACCAAAATTGGACTATTTTCATGATGTCAAAACTAATATATAGGAAATAAAGATAACAAAAGATGCTTCTATAAAGCATGTCAAAAGCTGTATGATTGACCAGAATAGCATAAGGAAGTCAAATACACACACAAACACATACCTATAATAGTAGTAACATACATTACATCCAATATAGAGTAAAACTGCTTAACCTAAATTGCAACATCATCAAAGTTTCAAGAATTTTCGATGAACAATTAAAAATTTGAAATTCCAATGGAAGGAAATGGTTATCCATTAAATGACATCTCAGAAACTGTAGAACAGCATTACCCAAATAGAAACCAAAAATTCAACTCGTAGACAATCAAAAAATGAAGGAGAGGGAGGGACAATAATATAAAGCAAGAAGAATATCATTACCCGAATTTAAAATGCCAAAATTTCTGATCACCCTTTTGGATATATATATATATATATATATTCCTTAAAAATTAAAAATTGAATGAGAGGACCAGAGGAAGAGATAATAATAATAATAAAACATCACCAATGGCAATGGCGTTGAGATATGAAAGAGAGAAGAAACCCCATAAGCAAGAAGAAGATGGATTATGGCTTTGGGAGAAATTGTGAGGAAAAACTAAAGCATAAGTTTGAATCAGGAAAAGCTCCGATTTTGCCGCGAGCAAACGGTTGACAAGTATTGCTGACTAACGGATCATAAGACATCTCCTTCAACATTCTTAACTACCTTTTCAAAGGTACTTTACTTTTTGAGTAATATTTTTTTTTTTTTTTTTTAGTCAAGCAAGTAGATACCTACTAATTTCCTACTAGTAGTTCATATATTATTTCTATCTACCTCCTAATATTTTCTCTATCAACTGGTTTATAGTTGACGAGTCAAATTGTTTTTCCTTGACTACGGTTATTCTTAAAATAATCTCAATTACTATTAACTAAAAAAATAAGGCTCATAATACTTTTTAAAAATTAAGGGATGAATGATTTGGTCACAGTCAATAGGAGCTTTCTTTGTGAAAATGTAATAGAAGAATATATATATATATATATATACACCCCCAAATAATGGCACCATGTATTCTTGACAAAATTATATCACGTTAAGAAGAGAAGCATATAAGCCCCAGTTAGAAGGTGCGAGATGTTAGCCTTAATGGGTATCAGGAGGGATAGAAGTAGCCTAACAAATTTTGGGGAAAGGTGATCAGGCGCAACTGGAGCTGACTGAGGACATGACCTTAGATAGGAGGGTCTGGAGATCGAAGATTAGGAGAAAAGGCTAGTAGGTAGTCGAACATTTCTCTTTGCCTTACTTAGTTCGCTAGCATTAGAGTTAGTACGATATCCTTTTATTCATAGATTGATATTACTACCTAGAGTTTAACTGTTTTCTTGGCTCCGGTCTTATTTTTATCTTGTTGTTATCCTACTTGTTGCCATTACTTTTGTATCCGTTCTCCAGCTGAGGGTATATCGAAAACAGCTCTCTGCCCTTCCAAGGTAGGGGTAAGGCTATGTACATCTTACCCTCCCTAGACCCCACTTGTGTGAAATTAATGGGTATGTTGTTGTTACGAAAAACTTAACTAGTCATTTTGAATCCATCGTTATATGAGTTATTTCATATTTCAGCATCTTAGAGAAGTTACCTACCCCAAAACGAAAATCGAAAATCCAGTTATTTACCTAAACGTTTAAACTATATTAAGCGTAAAAGGAAGATGGAGGCTTAGGAATTAATATATTTCTTTCATCAAGAAAGTTACGTAGTTAAGTGGCGTTGAAGGTACAATGAGGAAAATAATTGGCTTATGGAACAATGTTTTAAATGCTAAATTTGGAAAATTAAAAAAAAAATGATGGTCGATGTTTTGTTTTAAACTTAATAAGCCACTGGCTGAATACATTGACTGATCTCAAAGCTAGCAACTAAAGCAATACCAAAGGTGACAAATAAACAACTGATGGGGGTGACAAGGAAAGAATAGAGAGTCATTTGCTGCATCTTCACCAAAATAGCGAACAAAGATGCTCGCAAACCATTTCAGACACAAAATTTTCGTTACAATCACATCAACTATAGGACTATATATAGTATCAGAACACACCATAGGGCTCGACAAGAAAGAGAAACTGCCAACCTGCCTTTGAAATTTGGTAATTTTCTGCAGGGTTATCTCATATTTTGAACAATATAAACATGGCCAGAACATGAAAATACATAGGACCAAAAGTTGAAAGAATAACCTAGCTGACTCCACAACTAGTTGAATATATGAATACAATCCTATGCAAATGGATTTCCACCAATAGGAGCAACGGGCCCATGTGTAGAGACATTCCTGCACAAGGAACAATTCAGTTAAAACTTCAATCTTTAAAACGAGGAACGGTGCCATCCAGAACTGCAGCATAAGAAAGCAAACAACTTCAAGATGCTTGAAACTATATCCAACATGCATATCACAAGAACTTGCATTAGTGGCAATGAGATAATGCTATTGAAGCATTCTTGATGCAGACTGCTCATATAAGGATCTCTTTTTAATCTTTCAAAACAAGGAATAAGTCCGCACTCGTTGAAAAAGCAGCAAGGTTTTTTTTTTTTTGTAAACTTCATCTGAGAAACAAAACCGAGAGATGTCTCGTCTTAAATGGGTGACTGCTTTGGGCACTATTTGACTCCTTCCATGCCAACATTGAGAAAGAAGATGCTTTGGAAACTCATTTAAGTGCAGCTCAACTAAGTTTCTGCTTAACGTGCCAGCCTTAAAATTAAAGACTTGCAAAAATAACAGTGTGTGAGCCCACTCATTTAGTGGCTCTCATAGAGTAGCTAAAAATTTTTTTTATCTAAAACAGCTGCCTCTTTGAGTGGTATTTGATAGGATTAACCAAATAGACTAACTAACAATGGTATTTTTCTCATTCCCGCCAGAGAGCAGATGTCAGCTAATCCCTAAACAACCACTTGCGATAAGAACAAATCAAAATGAAGTGGAAAGCTTGTCAAAGACAAAACATGCTCAAGCATCTTCATAGTAGTAGAGGACTTCTGCATTAAGTTATCTTTAAGCAAGTAGAGAACTAATATTCCTGTTAAAAATAAGATCTCATGAGAATAATTTTGCAGAAGTTTAAAACAGAAAAATGGACAAAAGTAGAATGACTCACGATATTGTATTGCCAGATGGTTGTGCGGAAACGAACAATGTCCCTACAGAGAGAATACGTCTTTTGAGAGGCTGAAAATTTGTCAAAAGAGAGGATCCTTTGGAAAAGTAAACATCACGTACCTTGCTGTACACTAGGAACATAAGCTGTTGCTGGGTTCTGCGGGAACCAAGATTCGGTCACATCACCAACAAAAGAAGTTGGCATTTCGCCACTTGGCAATGCAGCTTGTAATGAGCTCATGTCCCAGTACTGAGGCTGGCATAAGTCACTTTCACATTAGAATGCACCAAAGCAACAAACTTTTAGGAAGTCAAGATTCAGTAAACACTCATGTATGTTAAGAGCATCACATCAGCATTTAATGAGCTCATGTCCCAGTACTGAGGCTGGCATAAGTCACTTTCACATTAGAATGCACCAACGCAACAAACTTTTAGGAAGTCAAGATTCAGTAAACACTCATGTATGTTAAGAGTATCACATTGCTTGACGGTACAGGTTATTGTCGCCTTACAGGTTTTGGACAATCCTCATGAGATAATTTTCAGGTTTGAGTCGGGCTCAAGGTCTATTTTCTTTACATGGTATCAGAGTCGGACTTATCCTTGTTGTTTGTGTTTCTCAATGTTGGGCTATTATGTTGCTCACGCTCCAAATGTCCAGCCCTAAACTTGTGGGGGTAAAGGGAGGAGGTGTTAAGAGTCCACATTGGTCTCCTTATGTGTTCTTGTTGGATAATCCTCACCTCATGAGCTAGATTTTGGGGTTGAGTAAGCCCGACACTAGGTCTAGTTTCTTTACAATGTCTCCCAAAATTTAGCCTAGATTTCTAGCGTAAATATCATATAGAACAACGTATGAAACCTCCTTTAGTACAATAAAGGCAGCAATTGACCCCTAAAAGTTTTTTTTTTCTTGGAGGGAAGTGCTGTCAAGGGAGATTTCTCTTAACATGGACGAAGTTTGAAGGACCAAAAACAAAACGTCAAATTCTCTCACTATATTTTCAGAAAATAATATAATGAAAAATGTGATATACCATATTGCTGCATTCCATGTCAGCATCGTAAGGAAAATCAAATGGGTTGTTGGACTTCTGCTCATTTGCATGTAAATGCACTCCTGTCTGTTAACAAGAACCTTATGTCAAAGAAGCAGGAAACAATGTACAGATATCTAGATGTTTAAAAGGAGTGGCCACACAGGACGGGACAGGGGAGTGAATTAACTGACCGCTACAGGAAGAGTGGACAATCCAGAGGATGAGGCACTGACATATGATGACAAACTAGGAATAGGATATCCACTATCCAGCACAGCTCTTTGAGTTTGACCCACAGCTGCATTCTGCAGAATAGAAGTCTTTAAAAGAAGAGGAAAAGAGCAAAAACATAAATTAACCACATTAGGAAAATAGTTACCTCTGCTCCTCTTAAGCCCATATACTGATCATCAACTAAATCATGGTTCATCACAACTTGTTCCTTGCTACTAGGCACACTCTTGAGAGCTAAGTGGTCAGTAGAAACTTCAAAAGCACTCCACAACTGACAAAAGACAGCAAATATTATCTGACCTCATAAATTAAAGGGTTTTAGATAAATAAAGTTAAAGTTAAGCAGAAGTTAGAAGTGGGCAAGAGATGATTTTCAACTCAGAAATTCTTTATACCACTTCCCAAACTCAAAAATACTACACTTACGGCAGTGTTTCTGCCACTTGGAGTTGCTTCAACATTCTGCACACCTCCATGAAATGAAGCAGGCATTGACAAATTTAGTGCACAAGCAGTAGAGTCTCTAACGGCTGGTCCATGAGGAGCAGATCCTACCGGTGATGGCCATTGCATGACAGAGAAAGTTGGGTCCAAATTCGGTTGAGAATCACCCTCCAATTGAATCTTGTTGGAGGTAAAGTTATTACTGCCAGTTAGTGCAATGTGCTGAGGCATATCAAATGTTGCCCATCCATCATTTCTCTCTGGAACCACATCCAAGGTATTCTTAGTGGATGTTACACCCGATTGCTGCTGTGTCTTATCGGGTAAAAAGTCAAAAGAATTATGACCATAAGTAGGTGTTGGTGTCAGGGTGAACTGTTCCATGCCTGTTGTTGCTGCGTGCTCTGGCATATCAAATGTTGCCCATCCTTCATTTTTGGAAGTGACTTCACATGATGGTTTTTCATCAGCACTTGCAGCTGACCGCAGGTTTGGAACCTCTGAGAATATGTCCAAAGATGAAGGTGGCAGAGTGCGGGATGGTTGATGTGAATTACCAATTTGACCAGGAGAAACAGATGGCTGAAATAGATCCATGGAGGCACTTGGTAATGATACTGGCAACTGAGACTTCGTTGAAACTGTAGGAGGAGCGGGTTGAGGAACCGAGGGAGAATTGAACAGATCCGGGGCATCTGAATTTCCGAGTGCCGATGATCGTGGCAAAGAGGGGAAAGTTGACAATTTACTAGAGCGGGTCTCAATTGTTTGCTTCGATTCTGAAGTAACATCCCCTAAACCAACAGAATTTACTGACTTGAATGACAAGGAATTGCTATCAAACGATTCAAAACTTCCAGAAGATGCAGTTCTCTGGATTTAACAAATACCATCATGTCAATTTCACAAGAAAATGCTGCAGTAAAAAGGACAAAGAGCCTTTTCTATAAGTCAAGTAGGAAGAAATCCAAGTTCAAATTGCAGGATCATAGTATCCAAATTACGTTTCCTTGATAATGAATTTAACAGTATGCCCCTTCTTCCGCAAACCATTAATTAGGAAAAATGTTATTCCATGCCAATTAATAAATGAATGTTTCCAAGCAAGCTACCTTCATTTCAATAAATTTGTTGAGCCAATATCATGCTCGATGATTATCTTCCATTATGCATCACAATCGAGAACAAAAAGCTGTTTTGTAGAAAAAATAAATAACATAACAGAGTAGAGCAATACCAGAAGATGTGTGTGGTACTACTACTATCCCAACCTCGTTAAAAACTTCAGTACGAATGTCAGTTTCAACTCACAAGTAGAAGAGCGTCATGCCCTCACATATTCTTCTTGCTTTTTTATGCAAAATGGCTTCTTTTCCGTTTTCTCGTAACCTCTGGCACCATTTCCACTTAAAAAATCAATCTAGTTATAATATGCTGAGATAGAAATGCTAAAACTCTCTATATTCTGCCCACATGCTTTGCCAAGTTTCATTAGTAGTTCATTGCCAACCATGGGTCCTTCATATTTAACTTGGGAAACCATGTTATCATGCACATTTATGAATGCAACTATGCAATAACTAAATCAGAAAGAGGAGAATAAATTCTTAACAGCATATTCTGACTAATAACGATCCTATAACCAGGAACTCAACCAGAAAGAGGAGAAAAAGAGTTGCTTAACAGCATATTCTGATTAATGCAAACACCTCTAAACCAGCGGCAAACACACCCAACAATGAATAACCGAGTAATTTGAAGTTCAACAGAGGTAAATCAGTAATATATACATGACCTGTGCCCGTGACATTCTTCCAGCATCTTTCTTGGCATGCCGTACATCTTCGTAGGAAATATCCCTTGAGGTGTCACTAAGGGGACTTCCCATGCCTCTCTGAAAGTTAGGGGACTGTGCTTCAGACCTGAATGGATCACCTCCACTAGATACAGAGTAATCTGAAGCTCTGGGATTAGATCCTTCATTAGCAAACCTATCCTCATACACATGATCACTTAAACGACTAGGACTCAAGAAACTCGACACCTTTCCTTCAAGTCCTCGATCTGATCCAGGCTTTCTAGAGAGCACTGGAGCATGTTTCCCGTAACGCCGCTCTTCATACTGAAAGTCATATGGTGGACTTTGAGAATAGGAATGATAAGAACTTGCTCTTCTCATCTCATCTTCGTGGCTTCTCAAGTTCTGGCAATTCAATGCATATTAGGCACATTAGTCTGGACCCACAACTAATTTGATTATTATGACTAAATCATAGCAAGAAGTTTTAATAAACATTCTAGTCTGAACTCTAAAGTACTCCATAGGCAAAATACTGGTCCAGGTATAGTACCTGAGTATCTCTAGGGGGTTTGTCAGAGGATTGTGCCCCAGCATATCTTTTCTCAACATAGACGGTCTTTATAAAGTCCCTAACTTTATCAACATTGCTGACGAGAAAAGAAAGTTAGGATTTTGTATCTTGAATTTTTACATTCACCTGGAACCTGGTAATCTACTAACAGAAACCTGCAAATCTTATACCTGTTATTAGGAAGCCACTGTCTTTGAGGGTCCCAATTTGTTAAATATATCTCTCTGGCACGCTGAGTCAAGACAGAATGAGAGAATCTTAATTTCAAATTGAAAAGAATCAGCAATTACTTTACTTGATTTTTTTTATTGGTAAAGAGAATATTTGTACCTGATTACCACCCTTTTGAAGAGCTTCCACCTCTTGGGAAGTAAACTTAGCCATGGAAACTGACTTCACACGGTGAGTAAACTCACGACTGCAAAACGAATAAGATGAATACATTTTAACTTTCATGTCCTGATGTTCAGGAATTCAAGCTCGGTAACATCAGAAAACATCACAAACAGACACGAGGGGAACTTAAAACTTAACTTACCACTGTGTTTTATCGGACGATGATTAGACAATAATTTCAGATGAACATCACTTACTTGTTGGATGCTCACATGTTAGTTAAACATTAACACAAGAATGAACATTTTTCCCTGGATAGGGGCATGCAGTCAATTGGCACTATAAACTGAGGACATGACCTATTACACACTGATAGCCAAAATTTCAGATAAGATATGAAGCTTCATACAATTTCATGTCACAAAGCGCGAAACCAAATTTCAGAAAAATAGTCCAGATTTCAGACAGATTGGTTCCTGAAGAAGCTACAATAAGCTACTTAGCTGCATCCAACCAATGAATTTTAAAATTCGGAACAAAAGAACCCCTCTTGAATGACCCCAGCAGCTTGTATTTCCATACTTTATTTCTGTACTAAGCTGAAAGTAAAGAAATTGTACAGCATACAGCCATACACTTAAAGAGGAGCGAGAACACCCCCCCCCCCCCCCCCCCAAAAAAAAAAAAATATCAATCACTAAGCTCGTAAGTAAGGTTTCAAACTCAAGGAAGAGAGTTAGTCTCGTAGCCCAAACCAAGTTCCCAAAAACATATTGCAATTAAAAGATATAAGAGCACACTTACTGTATTCCGCTGCATGTCATGCAGACAAAGGTCCAAAAGTTTGTGCACACATACTGGGGACCCTGCACATCGTAATTGATGCAATGATTGATTCATTCAGAATGAAAATGAGCCAAAACTATTAACTAAAATAGCGAACAGAGAATAGCCAGATCCAGAACATTAGCTTTCTGCTGTTCATCTCAGGGAACTACTCCCTTCGGTTCTTTTTTTCTGGTCACTTTACCCAAAAAGTTTGTCGCAAAATATTTGTTTAGAAAACCAAGGAGGCATTACGTTTTTCAACTCCACCCATACTTCTCCAAGAAGGCATATAGACATTAAGTACTCATTTAAGAAAGAGATAAGGGTAAGTAAGTCAAATACCCCTTATAACTAATATTATCAAATGGTTTGCTTAATATGTGTGACAAAACTTTAAAAGATAGATAGAAATGAAATGACCGGAGGAGTAATTCGTTTCAGTTCCCTGTTTAAGTTATAGGAGCTCATTTCACTACGTAAATACATATGAAGCAAATAATAAGAGAATAATTTGTAAGAGCCAAACAGCATTGATGCATATGTACATATATACCAGGAAAATAGAAAATTGGCAAGGATGCATCCAAAATCATCTCGACATGCAAATCCAAAATACCAATCATCGTACACCCCATTCCCAAATTAGTTGGGGTTGACTATATGAACACTGTATACATTCTACTCTAGTTAGATCCATTTCATTCCAATACTAAAAATTCATCCTTTAAGAGAAATTCAGGGTCCTCAAAAGTCAAAACTAAAGGTCCTGTTAATTTTACACTTATCCTTAGTCCTTACCCTATTAATGTCCAGTTCATTCCTGTACTAAAAGTTTGCCTTTTAAGACAAAGTAGAGGTTCTCAAAGCTAGAAGTTCTCCTTAATCTCACTGATCCTACCGAAACTTGATCTTCTGAATAATCTCACACATATCCTACCCTATTTACGTACATTTCATCCCAACACTGAAATTGCGACAAGTCCTATCCACGTCTATCTCTTTCCAATACTTAAAAGTTCAAAATTGAAGGTTCTCTTAAATATCACTACCTTATTAGCGTCGATTTCATTCCAATACTAAAAGTTTGTATTTTTACCCAGTTCATAACCATTTCATGACAATACTAAAAATGTCTTTTCAGACAAATTACCGGTTCCCTAACCTAGAGATGTTTTAACTCGCACCCCTATCCCTGTCTGAAAATACAAGTCTGTAACCACAACAAATAAATAAAAAGACCATAATGAAAGTGTAACAACAACATTTAACTCACAACAAGCCAAAATAAATAAATAAACAAATTTAAAATTGGAAAATAGAATAATGATTGATAGATGAATAGAATAAAACGCACCAAGCTGTTGCAGTTAATGCATCTGCGATTGGGAGGGAGCTTCATTAGCCCTCTTATTATCTTCTCGTTCCTCTCTTCTTCTCTCCTGCTACTCATCGCTTGTATCCTGCCAGAATCCCCCCAAAATCGACAACAAAGTGCAGAACAATTTGGGGAAAATTGACAAGAAAACACCTAGGGTTTTAGGATTTTTTTTTTTGAATTTTGTGAACGAGGAATGAAGAGAGAGGCTCGAATCAGCTCGCTCTCTCTCTCCCTTTCTCTCTCTCCTTCAGATTTCAACTTGACGTTCTTTTTGCACTCTTATTTCAAATTTCTAATCATTAGTATGCATTAGTTTTTAGAGTAATTAACTTTATCCTATCAGAATATTTACGATCTATGTATAAATAAAACATCAGAGGTGGAAAAAAGAAAACTTACACACCTAGCGGATTGGCAAAAAATAATTACATTCGTCAACAAAATATACAAGAAATGATATATGTTAATGTTATATATATGGGATTTTTTTCTATATTTGAAATTTATTTACTAAAATTATTTTAATTTTGATATTACCCGCCCAAATAAGGATTACTTACAAACTGTATACATTCCACCTTAAAAGGCTCTCAAATCTCAATCCATTATTAGTGCCTTAAATTAGGGATTCTTTGATTGGAAAAAAAGCATAACTGAAGGGAACAGTGGTATTAACCACCTTTCCCTTCCCTGATCATGGAGGAATATAGTCTCACGCATTTCCCTTCCCTGATCAACTATATTTTTTTTAAAGAAAAAAAAAAGAAAGCAAACAGACGGGAGAGTATAAAATAAGCAATATTTTTAAGCAAATGTCACCTTAACTGTTCTTTCTTTAAAATCTTTTTTGTAGACAAGTATATTGTCTGGATATTGGAAACAAAAGAAGAAAGAAAACTGCTTCAGCCAATACAATGGTCATATAGCAATGTTAAGATGCAGACAAGTGAAGCTGGAAACATTTCAATAATTTCTATAATAATTTTGACGAAAATCTCATCTCATTAGAATATAATTTGATATCTTCCGTCACTTATCCATAAATAAAATACAGATATCATATTATGCTTCTCATAAGAAAAAATTTGATGGCAAACAGGAGAATAATAAAAATAAAGCCAGAAAAGGAGAACCCTCTTAATTTACCAACAAAAGAAATCAAGTGACATCATATAAGCTGGAGCAAAAGTGGGCACAAGGTTAATAACAAAAAGAAAGAAAAGAAAACCAAAACACAATGAGTGGGGACTTCTTTCATGACAACACAAGCCCCAGTTTACAAAAATTAATGCTTTTAATCAACACATCCTATTTCAAGAAAAGAATAATGCATGGTACAACATAATACAATTTAAAAATAAATTGTATACAAATTTAATACAAAATTTGATATATCTACAACAATATACATAATAAAAATAAATTTATACAACTAATATATACAACTTATCTACAACTTTCATACATCCTTCTTACCCAGTTAAATACAACTACAACATCATACAACTTAAATATAATTTTCATACAAATTTTATACAATATGTCTTTTGTATATTTTGTATCTGCTTTGTGTGTGTGTGTATATATATATATATATATATATTGCATGTGGTGTGTGCTTTTTCCTCTCTAAAATTTCAATCAAAACTTACTCTCTTAATATAATTCTGATACATATTAACAACTTTATGTAAAAAAGATAGTATTGATAACTTAAATATAAATTTTATACAACGATTCATACATTATACAACTATTTTTCAACTTTCATACAACATTCAAATAAAAAAAATATATATAACTACAACATAATACAATTTACATACAATTATAATACAACTTTACTACAATTTCTTAAGTATATTGTATGTCATGTGTTCTTCTTCTTCTTCTTCTTCTTTGAGTTTCAGTCTGAAATTCAGATATAATCAAGTCTAATCTTCACCAAACACCCTCAAAATTGAGATATAAACTCCAAACAATATTCCCAATTGTTTGCAACAACACCCAATCCAAACAAATAATAATTTTTGAAAACCCAAAATTTGATTTCAAAGCTTTTTAATGGCTGTCAATGATGGGGACTCAAACACCTTCAAAACTTATTGATTGACAATTTCAATTTGAACACCAATTGTGCAACATGAAAGAAAATTGCTAAGTTAAAACGATTAAAATCCATTAATGAATTCCATTAAAACTATATACAACAAGAAAGCATAAAAAAACAGAGAACACCAAATGAAGAAAAATTAGGGGAAAAAA